TCTCAGGAGCCCAGGATCACGACCTGAGCTGAAGGCAGAGCCACTCGGGCGCCCTAAGTGAATAAATTTTAATAGGTAGCTTTGATCTCCTCAGCAGTTTTATTATGATTTACTAGGTATGGGTTTCTTTGCATTTATCCAAAACATTCATGAATCGCAGAATGGTTAAGTAAGTTGTACATGGTGGTTACACAGTGGGATACTATACAGCAAGGAAAATGAACCCATTGTAGTTATACACAATGTAGTATAATTTGTATACATTGTGTGTATACACAACAGCATGGATGAAGCTCACAAACAATGTTGAGGGAAGGGCACCTGCATGGCTTAGTCAGTTGGGCCACTGCCTTCGGCTCAGGTCATGGTCCCAGAGTCCCGGGATCGAGTTCCGCATTGGGCTCCCAGCTCTGTGGAGAGTCTGCTTCTCCCTCTGACCTTCTCCCCTCTCATGCTCTCTCTCACTTTCTCTCTCTCTCAAATAAATAAATAAAATCTTAAAAAAAAAAAAAAAAAAGGAATGTTGAGGGAAAGAAGACTTACACAGAAGAATTTATACAAATTTTCTTTTTCATTTATTAGAAAGTTAAGCTGTGTTGTTAGAAGTCAGGGAAGCTTCACTTTTGACTTAGGCGAGAGAGTACCGGGGGCTGGTAATGTTCTGTATTTTATCGAGGTGGTTTCCCTTGGGTGTGTGTCCTTGTGCTAATTCATTAAGCCGTATACTTCTAAGTTGTGTGCTTTCTTTGGTGTTTTACACTTAAATAAAAAGCTTTTCCTACAAAAATGCTTGTTACCGATGGGAAAGAAAAAGAAACCCATTTGAGTTTAGTTTGAAGAAAGCAAGTTGAACATCTATTGAATATCACCGGTATGACAGTCCATCCCTTATGTTACAGACTAAGAAACCAATATCTAGATCTATTAAATACCTGATTCTGGGTCTCAGAATTAGTAAAAGAGTTAGAATTGAAGGCTGTTCTTGAATTCCAAATCAAAACCCAGAGCTTTCCACCAGTCCATCATAGTATAAACATAATATGCATAAACTCTTCTAGCTCTGGGACCAAAGACTGCTTTCATCCATTCATTCATGTGACATCTCTTATGAGCCAGCCTTTGTGCTAGGCTTGGGGGTCTGGTGGCTTTTGCCCTGCAGCCCAGTGAGGACTGTAATGCAAGATATAAACAGACGCTGAGGAACACATGTAGGGAGCTACGAGATCCTAGGTGGATCCAGGTGCCATCCTAGGGGTGTATCTGTATGCATACTAGATACTCCGAGAGGCATATGTTTGGTGGTGAGGTGGGTGAACTGGTGTAATACTTTGGAATTACAATTTTGGAACTGAAACCTTGGGCCTACCACTTAACTGCTAGGCAGTACGACCAAGCTAGATGACTTTAGGTTGGTCACATAATCTCTCTGTGCTTCAGTTCTCTCAGCTGTCTAATGGGGTTCAGTTACGGGAGTTGGTATATATAAATGCTTAGGAAGGTGCTGGGCACAGACAACGTGTACCAAGGAGGAAAGGGAGCTCAGTGGGGAAAGTCTGCCCTAGCGGATAGGAGTGTTTTATTATTGACATTGTTTGGAATTGCCAACATATGGTAGTCAGAAAAAGCAGACTCGTTTTTTGGCTTTATCATTGTTTTTAAAATCTTTATCAACCGTGCAACTCCTTATTGCTTGGATCCGAAGCAGCTCCTCCCACTATCCCACCCTCTACCGTATATTATGGAAGGCCACAGAGGAATTCCCCAGAACGGGGTGGGGTGGAGGCCAACTTGGGGAGGAGGCCTTCCTGACAGAGGAACCCCGCTTGCAAAGGCAAGCAAGTAAAGAGATGGTGTTCATTAGGACTATCAGTTAATACTCAAGCCAGGAAGAGGACAGGGCTTTCCTGGGGAGAGTAGTCCCATCATTGGAAAGGAAAGAAAATCATTGTGAATCTTTGACAGGTGTCATTGAAGGCCACTCACAATTTCACATGAGATCCTTCTGCCTTCAGTTCAACATTTCCTCACTCCTTGGCATTGTACATGGTTGCCTTTCGAGAGTCAAGGATGGCTTGAAGATATTCGCCTTTGAGAGTGTAATTCTGCCAACAAGCTATTTCTGTGCAGTGCTTCTTCTCATACCAATGTGAGAGCCTACTTTGATGATAAGAATAATCAACTGCTTTGTCTTCTAGAGGGTTCTTAATGCCAACAGTCCACACTTCTCTCAGAGTGCAATTAAATAAAGGGAGGGACAAAGCCCAGTTAAATAATTCATAAAAGCACAACCACAGAAAGAAACTGAGCTTGGTTTTTTCGTCAGTCAGTTACTGGGCCACTACCAAGGTAAGGGACTCCCTAACGCTGAGACTGTCACACCGTCATAGGAGTCCACATCAGAAATATAAGACATCTTACTGAAGAGTCCCAGGAGGACTGGCTTCATCTGCTTGGGCTGCTATCACAAAATACCAAGGACTGTAATAAATAAGGAATCACTTCATACGTGCTAAAATGGCTGTGATCAGTTAGAGAAGAAATAAATACTAGGGAGAATGTGGAGACAAGGCCTTGTGCACTGTTGGCGAGGATGTAAATTGGTGTGGCCACTATGGAAAACAGTAGAGACATTTCTCAAGAAATTAAAATGAGACCTACCGCGTGATCCGGCAATTCCACTTCTGGGTATACATCCAACGGAAATGAAAACAGGATTTAGAAGAGATACCTGCACTCCAGGTTGTCTGCAGCATTATTCATTATAGCCAAAATAGGGAAACAGCCCAATATATGAAAATATTATGTAACCATGAGAAAGAAGTACCTTCTGCCATTTGTGAGAATGTGGATGGACCTTGAAGGCAGTATGCTAAATGAAATAAATTGGAGAGGTAAAGACAAATACTGTGTGATATCACTTCTATGTGGAAGCTTAAAAAAAGCTAAACTTAAAGAAACAGACACTAGAATTGTATAAACCAGGGACTGGGGTGGGGGAAAAGGGGAGATGTTGGTCAAAAAAGTACAAACTTCCAGTTATATGATGAATAAGTTCTGGAATCTAAGGTACAGTGTAGTGATTATAGGTGATAATACTCTATTATTTACTTGAAAGTTGCTAAAATAGTAGATCTTAAATATTCTCACGACAAAAAAGAAATGATAATTAGGTGACATGATGCAGGTGTTAGTGAACGCTATGGTGGTAATTATTTTGCAATATAGAAGCATATCAAATCAACACATCATACACCACAAACTTACACAATGCTGGATGTCAATTATATCTCAGTAAAGGTGGAAAAAGATGTAGGATTTTGATAAAATTGGTTATTATTTTGACATATTGATACGAGAAGTTGCAAAGAGCACTGTTATTCCAAATAACTGGTACAGAGCTCCCGAATCAGCCGGAGCTTTTCATAACATCTAGTACATCTGGAAAGGAAGCACACTTCCATTTGCATAATGTCATCTCTTTCTTTCTGAAAAGCACCCCTGTTCTCCAGGGATATTATTGGAGGTGGGATATTATTGCATATCCTATATTGGAGGTGGGCTATTACTGCAGTGGGGGCTACTATTTGAGGATATCATGAAATCTTGGCAAGCGTGAGAAGAGCTTTTTGTCTTTAAGAGGTTGTGTCAAAATACCTTTTCTGGTCTGGGCTTTGACCATTGTCTTGCCATCTTCTGTGGTCCTGGCAGGCACTGTGATGCGTCCCCACCTTCCTGAGGCTTTATGAGTCCAACAGCTCTCAGTCCTTATCTGTGTTACCTCCGTCCCCAGGGAGGCCACAACAGTGTTTTGTTTTTGTGGTAGAGATTCTTAGAACACTTAATCTTTGGAACAACCCCAACACCATGGGTATTACTAAGACCGGTTTTCACACTGAAGGAACAGACTCAAACGTTAACACAACTTGGCCTGGGTCTTGCTGCCAGGAAATGATGGACTTGGGATTTAAACCTCCATCAATCAGCTACCAAAGCTTATACATGCTGTTAGGTGGCAGCATTCAGCAGTATCCCTACTTGAACTATTGAGTTCTCTGTTTCTAATCTGTTATTGATTAGCTTAAATTGTTGGAAACCTATTTCAGATACTGAACTAAAATCTGTTTCTTTTTATTTCTGTATAAAATTGCCCTATAAGAGCTATCCAGAATGTCCACTTTTTTTTTTCCTCCTGACAGTCACTTTCAAATTCTTGAACGAAGCTCTCAAATATAGTTAGGGACGGATTCATAAAGAGGTGGAGCCTGAAGAAGAGCCATAGCATTTGAATTGATGGAAATGAAAGAAACAGACATTATAGGTAATCAAATGAGATAACAATAGAATGATTTGTTGAGGGCTTATTGTGTCCAGTATTATGCTAGTCGCTGGCTATATGTTATCCCAAGTCATCCTCAGGCTGATTGTGTAGAAGGTGGATGCTATAGTGATTTTATAGATGCCTGCTTCTCCCTCTCCCTGCTTCTCCCCTCCTGCTTGTTCTCTCTCTCTCTCTCTCTCTTTCTTTAAACATAAATAAAATCTTTAAAAAAAAGAGAGAGAGAGATGTGTGGTAATCCACTTCACCCAGTGACAGAGATTTGGAACTGGACATATGTGATTCCAAAAGATATGTTTTCCTCACTAGCCTCGGCCTGGGTCTTGGCTATGTACATTAAATTACAAAAACAGTGTAATCTGTTTATAAGTCTGAGTTCAGTGGAGTACAAGCCTGGGAAGGCATTCTTTTTTTTCAGTCACCACCTTAAATACGCTCTGCCAATTTGCTCCATTCTGGTCCTCTGTTAACATTTTAAGAGGATTCCATTGCATTCCATTTTAGGCCTTTTTAGTCAGGACAAAGCCCAGTTCATGTAAGTCTCAGATTCCGATCTCATTTCTTTCCTTTTGTCCAGCTGAGACCCAACATCCTAAGCCAGGTAACCTGCAGTGAAGAAGTGCTTGGTGAACTCATTTATTCTTTTCCCCTGCCTCTTTCACAGGCATTTCAGGCAGGAAGCAGAGAAATGGTGGCCAAGTGACCATTAACTGATGATGTTGGAATCATCTTTGACAGCTGCTGCTTCTCTAGGTAAATCTGATCAGCTACCGATGCTGTCAGTAAGGCCAGCATCCACCAATGGGCTGGATTTCGGGAAAGGAAGGACAAAGGGGAAGCAAAATTAAGGTTTGGATGACAGGAAAGATGACATTTATGGAGATGGTCAAGCTGGAAGAAAGTGAGGATAGGCATAATCCAAAGGGCGTGGTTCTACATGATGACTTAAATTGGAAAGAGAGTTTTCTCTCCCTTTATGGAACTGGTGTGTTCCATCTGTTCTAAAATGAACCCAACTGCTCGTGTTAACTGCTATTAGAAAATCAAGGATGTATCCCCACAATGAAAAGAAGAGAATTCTCAATAGACTTAATTAAAAACTTTTGGTGAAGATGGATTTGAAATGGTGGCCAGCTTCCTAGCCCCTGTGGGATTGTTGTCCCACTTAGTGGTTTGCTTCTCCTTGCTGTGATTTTTCGACTCCTTGGTCTCCCTTTGGCTGTCCAAATCCTACTCCCTTTGGGATAGAATGTAGTGTGCTGTCTATTATTGGAGAAATGACTGCACAATCCTAAAGCACCCCAAATTTTCTGGCTGGTTGTAGAAGATGTCACATTTGCATTCAGGTTTTTTTACATGTTTGCTGCCTACCATTTCTTACCTTTGGAACATCTCTAAAAATAACAACCTACTGAGAGCACCCATGAGGGTAACTGTGACCTGTATCCCTTTATCTTTCCATGAACAAAACTCCTCCAAGAAAGTGGTCTGTCGACATGGCATCTTCTATTTCATCTGACTTTTAGTTGTCCTGAAGATTTGACATTCTCTGTGTCTGTATAACATTTATTGGTCTATTATGAGAGAGCTTTCTTTTGAACCAGTTATAAGAAAACCCAATTTGGCAAATGGTAAGTTATGTCCCTACCTCTGCCCTGTGAGTGATTTGATGTCAGGCACCACAGGAAGTTGCAGAGGTTTGGAATGTGAGCATGAACAGAAGACACCAGGAGATTGAAGAACTTAGGAACACCTTGGGAAAGAGAAGAGGCATAAGGAGGGAGGAAAGGGCTACTGGCAAAGATGAAATTACTTTAGAAATATTTCTGCACTGGTTTCTATGCGGGAAACCTATAATACCAATCCCATTGAAAAGACTGGGTCAATAGAGTTACCTCCTGAACTCTCAATTTATAGCACCAACATTTTCTCTAACTTTGTTACAGCTGAAGGCAGGAGTCATGTTGATACAAAACACTATTACAGCTCTTCTTGAAAAGAAGAAAAAGATTTTCACAAATGCTTCCCTTCTCATTTATTGTCACTACCATTTTCCCCCAGACTACTCTCATTCTCGGCCCACATAGGAAATCAGAAGATAATCTATAATTAAATGATGATGGCTCAGAGCTTAAAGCACTTAAAAAGAGAAGGGGGGAGCACTGCATCACATCTTGACAAGGCTGGGAATGAGGGCTAGAAGATTGCCGAGGAAGCCCACAAGAGCTGTTGACCAGTGGGCCTTTGTACTTTGTGTGACCAGAGAGGACCTGTGAGACATTCTCCTTCCTCATGCCCTGGGATGGTGTTTGAGGTCAGAAAAGCTACGGGAGAGTTGAGAAAGAATGCAAAGTGGGTATACACAGAGCGCTAGTGAGTTAGGAAAACCAAGCTGAACACTTGATTTACTAGTTACCATGTTGTAATATAAACCTACTCAGCATTTCTTTCTGTTCCTAAAATGACATCCTCATAGAATATGAAAACCAAATTATATATATGCACACACATTTATCTTTTACATATATATACCTATATATTTGTGTGATACAGATATATATATATATATATTACATACACACAACCTGTGTATTGCACGCTCCACATGCACATAATTCGTAATCAGTACAGGGGTTAACATGAAACACTTCTTATAGTAATGATATTAACTATTTTTATTATAGGATATAAAGCCAGCTCTTCGGCTTACTTTAGCTTTAGTCCCACTTGCCCATATGTGATGATATGCAAATCACAAAAAGGGCCCTCCCGTTTAGCATCTTCCATTTTTTATCAAGGTTCTCTGACTGCTAGAATGTTAGAAGTTAAAAAAAAAAAAAGCATAGGTGTCAGAATCTGACAAATCAGAATTCAGATGTATGCTCTGCCACTCACGAGCCATAAAAACTGGGACAAGTTACCTTTCTGGGTCTCAGAGTCCACATCTGGATAATCGCATTATTTATTATTTCAACAACATGGCTGGGAAATTTAATGAGGTGAAAAGTATGTAACAGTGCTGAGCAGATTGCCTGGCATGTAAGATACACTAAATCAGGGGCTGGCAAACTTATGCCCAAGACCAGATAGTAAATATTTTAGGCTTTGCAGGCCTAACTACTCAAGTTAGTCATCATAGCATGAGAGCAGCCAGAGAGAATATGTAGAAGAATGAGTATGGCCGTGTTCCAATAAAACTTTATTTAAAAAAGACATGTGGGTCACTTGGGCCCTGTGATGCGTAGTTTGCAAATCCAAGCTCTGTTTCTTCCTCTTTTCCCAATTTGAGATACAGGTTTTTCATGTGTGTAATGTTGGAAATAGCACCCACCAAAACCTTAGTTTATTTATCGAGCATCTGTTGTGTACAAAGGACCGAGTAAAGTGTGATGAAGAACAGAGTGAATAAAATTTGCTTTTACCCTTCAAGGGCTTAAAGAGTAACAGAAAGTGTTTAACTTATCTAGGTTTGCTCCTCCTTCTTAGCCAGGAAATGGTTTAAGCGTATTTATCTCATGGAGTTATTCTGAGAATGAAATAAAACATCATCTTTAAGTGTAGATGCAGTAGCAGCCATCGTGGAAAATGGTCATGGGACTGAACCTTTCTGCTACGAAGAACTAGAAAGCTGGACAAAGTGTATGAATAAACTGTTTTCTCATGTTGGGCCACAGAGAGCACAGGGCTGTGATACTTGAGATCAGGAAGACACCATGTTTCACTACAGCTTTCTGCCTGAGACCACCATTCAAACTTCAGCACAAGTAAGTGAAGCCCTATTGAAAACACGTTGAGCCTAATTTTCTTTTTTTCTCAAGTATGTTTCTTTTTCAGGTAGTGGTTTCACTGGTCGGAGGCAGGAGAGAATGGAGTTTGGATGCTGAGGTTGCAGGAAGTTTACAGGTCAGGTTACTGAGGAACAGACAGAGACACACATAAGATGGCTTCAGAAAGCTGCATCAGGGTCCCTTGGAGGGTTTGGGTGACTAGAAAGCTGTGTCACAGGACTCATAGATCAAGATTCAGGAAGATTAGGCCAAAAATAGCTATTGGATAACGAACTGAACAAAATTGAGGAGGTTGCTTAGGAGAGGAAGATGGAGTTACAACCGTGCAACATGGAGGGGCCTCATGAACACCCTGGACATTCGATTGAGATCTCAGAAAATGTATATCTTAAGAGTAAGGTTACCCTAGCTCTAGAAGAAGGGCTACTCTAGAATCATCATTAAAAAGCTTAAAACCAAGCCTTGATAAGATAAAGCTGATCTCTCAATAAATTAAGTGCCTGCCAGAGCAAAACAAAATTAATTAGTCTTAAAATTGAGACTTATATAACAGCATTGAATCCACAATTGAGTATATATAATATGTTTGAAGACATGTGAGGGAGTAGGAAAATGTGGCACTTAACCAGGAGAAAAGTGAGTCAATAGCAACAAACTCAGAAATAACACAGAGCTTGAAATTAGCAGACTTGTTGCTCTTTTTCTTGGCCATACCCACCTCCCAGGCTCCCATCCCCGACCCCTAGCAACCACTAATCTTTTCCCTATGATTTTGTCATTGCAAGAATATAATAAGTGAAAGTATGCAATCGTCAGTCTTTGGGGATTGGCTTTTCTCACTCAATTCACCTAATTCCCTGGAGAATCATTCAAGCTGTTCCATGTATTGACCGTTTGTTCCTTTTATTACTGAGTAGTATTCCATGATGTGGATGTGTCATTGTTTATTTCACTGTTCATCTGCTGAAGGACCTCTGGATTATCTCTCCATTTTGGCTATTACAAATAAGTCTTCTGTGAACATTTGTGTACAGGGTTTTTTGTATGGACATAAGTTTTCATTTCTCTGGGAAAAATGCCCAACAGTACAACTGCTGGGTTCTATGGGAGTTTCATGTTTAGTTTTATAAGAAACAGTCAAATTCTTTTCCAGAGTAGCTTTATCATTTTATAATCTCACTAACATTGTATGAGTGATCCAGTTTTTCTGCATCTTTGCCAGCATTAGATGTTGTCACTATTTTTTTATTTCAGCCATTGTAATAAATTATGTGAGATGCATTTTAAACATGAGGGTGTAGATGGGTTAAAAGAGGGGGAAAAAAAATCATTGACCATAGTAAAGATGCAGTAATTGTGTCAAGGATAGGTAACGTAGAGTTCAAGGAAAAGAGTATTACGAGAGATAAAGAGGAAGATTTAATAAGGATATAAATAATGAATTATCATTCATTAAGAAGACAAAACAGTCTTAAATGTGAGTGCATCTATAACAGAGCCTCAAAACATATAAATCAAAAAGTGATAGGACTGAAGGCAAAAATAGACATATCCATTATCAGAGTTGGACATTTTAACACTTCTGCTCTCAGTAATTGATTTGACAAATAGACTGAAAGCTATAAAGATAGAGATTTAAACACTGCTATCAGCCAACTTGACCTAATAGATAATTATAGCACACTATTCAACAATTGTAGGACACATTCTTTTCAAGGGTACATGGAATATTTATCAAAGGAGACTATTTGCTGGGCAATCAAAGTGTGTTTATAAATTTAACATTATTGACATCTTATAGAGTGTATTTTCTGCCCATAAAGAATTAAGTTAGACATCAGTAACAAAATACACAGTTCTTAAATATTTGGAATAAGAAACACTTATAAATAATATATTGACCAAATAAAAAGAATTACAAAGGTAATTAAGAAATACTTCACTAAATGGTAATAAAAACAAAGTATCAAAGTTTGTGAGGTGCAAGTAAAACGTTCAGATGGAAAGTTATGATGGCAGATCTTATATTAAAGGGAAAAGTAGTTTGTGTTTGTTTTGGGTTTTGTTTTCTAAGATTTTATTTATTAGAGAGAGAAGAGCACAAGTAGGGGAAGCAGCAGAGGGAGAAGGAAAAGCAGACTCCCTGCTGAGCAGTGATCCTGGGGATCATGACCCAAGCCGAAGGCAGATGCTTAACTGACTGGCCATCCAGGTGCCCGAGAAAAATGCTTTTAAATCAACCATGTGTATTTGCACCTTAGATAGAAAAAGGCAAAGGAAACTATACCCAAAGTGCACAGAAGAAAGAAAATAATAGAAATTAATGAAACAGAAGATGAGCAGATAATAGAAAAATCAGTGAAACAAAAAATTGATTAAAAGACTAAAATTGAGAATTTATTTTTCTCAACTGGGGTTCTGCAAGAGAATTAGACTTAAAGAATATTATTGGACCGTTTTCTCTTTTCTTCTAAGTAAGTTGCATAGCCAATTCTATTTTAGATAAACAGAAAAAAAGTATTTCTTTTTATATAACAGTTGCTTTAGAGCATTAGGGCTTAATTCTTTTGTGGAATCCTAATTGAGAACAGTTGCCCCTGGCTAGTAATAAAAATTGTATTCATTTTTTTTGTTCATTTGTTTTAGAATGTTTATGTTCTTGTTTATTTTCTTATTTTAAAGAGAGAGAGCTGGGGGAGGGGCAAAGGGAGAGAAGGGACAAAATTTCAAGTGAATTCCCCACTGAGTGTAGAACCTGAAACCAGGCTCGATCCTTTGACCCTGAGATCATGACCTGAGCTGAAATCAAGAGTTGGATGCTTATCTGGCTAAACCACTCCTGCACTGATAAAAATTTTAAAAGAAAATAGAAATTGGAAATTACCAATATCAGAAATGTAGAAGGGGCCATCACTACAGATGCTATGGACATTAAAAATTAGTAAGGAAATATTGTATGCCATTAAATGAGAAAATAATAACAGTTCAACTGTGTTGAATTTAAGTAAGTAAATATATAATTTAAAACCTTCCTGTATTCCAGATGCAAGTTATTTAACTGGAAAACTTTAACTTGCATTTAAGAAAGAAATATTTCCAGTTTTACAAAAACTTGTTCAGAAAAAGGAATTAGAAATGCCACTCAACTTTATGAGGTACACATAGCTTTAATGTCATAGTCCAGTATCATTCATTAACATATGTGTGTGTGTGTGTGTGTGTACGTGTGTGTGTGTATGCAGAAATTTTGACAAAATATTAGAAATCAAATCTGGATATATATAGTCGGATAGCATATATGACAAAGTGGGATTTATCTCACAAATGAATGCAAGGTTGTTTCAACATTTTTAAATCAGTGACTTAAATCAATTTAATAAAATTAATGAAATCAAAGCAATATATCACATTAACAGATTAAAGAAGAACTATTGTGTGATTCTCTAAAATGCAGAAAAAAGCAAAATTCAACACCCATTTGTGATAAAAACTTTCAGCAATGTCGGAATAGTAGAGGGTCTCTCAGTCTAAAATATTTAATGGTGAAGGACTAATTGCTTTCCCTTTGATTCTGGAGCAAGACAAAAAAGGTTACTCCTATTACTTCTGTTAAACCTTGTGCTCAAAGTAATGGCTAGTGTAATAAAGCAAAAATTAAAAAACATATAAAAGGAAAAATGGCAATATAAATGTATACATAAAAAATTTGGGGGGATTTATCAAAAAAGATCCTAGAACCAACATTTGACTTTAGCAAGGCTACAGAATAGAGGGTTGATATAGAGAAATTAATTGCATTATATGTAATAGCAATACATAATTTGAAGATTGAATTTAAAAACCTACTGCTTGCAACAGCATCAAAATATTCAGTTACTAGATGTAAGTATGTGCAAGAACTTCTGACTGAAAACTAAAAAAGTTACTGAGCAAAACTGAAGATCTACATAAGGGAATAAATAAACTATATTCATGGATTGGAAGATTAAGTAAGTTAATGTAAATTTAATGTAAGATGTAAAATTCCCTAAATTCTTCCTAGAGATTTTCAGTGTAATCTCAAAATCCCAATGCTTTTTTTCTTCTAAAAATTGGCAAGCTGATTCTAAGATTATTTGGAAATACAAAGGACCTAGAAAAGGAAAGAAAGGAAAGGAGGGAGGGTGGAGGGGGAAAGAAGGATCTTAAAGAGGAGAAACAAGTGAAAAGGTATATACTACCTGATTTCAGAACCCATCATGAAGTTAAACTAATGAAGAAAGTGTGATGGTGGCTAACAATAGATCTTTAATGTTTATATATATTTTTATTTCTTTTTTTTTTTTGAGATTTTATTTATTTATTTGACAGGGACATACAGCAAGAGAGGGAACACAAGCAGGGGGAGTCGGAGAGGGACAAACAGGCTTCCCACAGAGCAGGGAGCCCGATGTGGGACTCGATCCCAGGGTCCGGGGATCATGACCTGAGCCAAAGGCAGAGGCTCAATGACTGAGCCACTCAGGCACCCCCTAGATCTTTCAGGTTTATGAAACAGAATAGAGAGTTTAGAAATAGACAAAACTTATAAAATCAGTATGATTTTTGACATGAGGAAAATATATAAATGGCCAATAAACACTTGAAAAATTACACATTATTAGTCATCGGGAATGCAAATTTGTATGAAAATATCATTATACTTCTGAAATGGCTTAAATTTAAAAAGGCTGACAACACTAAATGTTGGCTAGGATGTTACGCAATTAGAATTCTCTTCCATTGCTGGCAGGAGTACGAAATGGTACAACCGATTTGGAAACTGACCGTTTCTTGTAAATTGAAACGTGCCTTGACCTTATAACCAAAGAATTCCACTTCTAAGTATTTAATCAAGACAAATGAAAACATATGTCCACAAAAGACTTTTATACACATATTCATTGCTGCTCTATTAATGCCCCAAACTGAAGGAATCCAAATGGGCACCAATAAGACAATGAAAAAATTATATCCTAGCCATCAAAGGAAACTGTCCTTAACAGTTTAAAGGAGGTATTTGAAGCTTAGTGGGATGGATGCCTGCTTAGTTAGCTTTCTCTTGCTTGGGTTGAGGGGGTTTGGGCTTAGATGCACTATTGTGAGTATTCAGGAATGATGGTAAGAAAGGAAGGACATCCTAGAGTGCTGTGCGTCAGGTCCTTTGGGAGTCAGTCATCACATTCCTTGAGTTATTTTCTGTAATAGAGTTGTTTTCTTCTTTACTGGTGGGTGAATTTCTTGAGGGTAATAATGGCCTTATTCATCTTCTTATCTTTCCTCCCTGAAGTTTATCATAAAGTGAGGTAGCATTCGATGAAAAGATGCAGAAAGAGGGAGCAAATTTGCCTCTGGAGGTTTTATTATCACTTCTTCTGCTGAGATACAAAGTTTTGTTATTAAAAACAACAACAACAACAACAGTTACAAAGTGAATTTTTAAAGAACTTTCCTCTCAAGAGAAGGGGACATAAAACAAGCCCAATATAAAAATGGAAAAAAACCTTGACTAAAAGTGACATTTAAAAACCAGATTGAAAAGCTAAGAGAGAAAAAGGAGAGGGAAATCAGATACCCAAGCTTTCTGAACTTAGAAAGGAAAAAAGCAGAAGAGATAGATCAAAAAATCAAAACTCCATTAAGGGAAACAAATGGGAAGTAAAGGGAATAGAGTGTCCCTGCAAGATACAGAAGCATTTTGATTGAGCTGTTGAAACAGAGGAAGGTTGCAAGAAAACAGGGAGAGGTCGTAAAAAAATAGAGAGAGGTTACCCGAAAACGGCCCACGGTACTGGGCAGCGAAGCTGGGATTGACATTTGCTTTGTTCTCACCGTCCGCTTAATAATCTGCTGTCTAGATTATGCACCTCTTGATACTTACCCATAAACTGTGATAAGCAGCTTAGAATAATGCCTGCCTATGAAGGATCCATGCTACAACTCAGACACCTTGCATTTTTCTAGCCACTGTCATGTCCCGTCAGACTCTTTAACACTGACCTTGAGACCACATGGCTTCACTGTTGAGTGTGTTCCCTTCAAAACATGGTGTAGGGGCACCTGGGTGGCTCAGTGGGTTAAAGCCTCTGCCTTCTGCTCAGGTCATGATCCCAGGGTTCTGGGATGGAGCCCCGAATCAGGCTCTCTGCTCAGCGGGGAGTCGGCTTCCCTTCCTCTCTCTCTGCCTGCCTCTTTGCCTACTTGTGATCTCTGTCTGTCAAATAAATAAATAAAATCTTTAAAAAAAAACAAACAAACATGGTGTAAATTCTGGTGTGTTCCACATCTGAGGGGATCAGTGTGAAGTGTATTCTTTTGAGTATACAAGAATGAACAGGAAGAAGGAAAGTAAAGTAATTACTACTTTGATAGCAGAATGTATGGCCATCTTCCTTGAATATTATCTGGCATTTGAAGACCTCAAACTTTTTACTGTGGTCTGAGGGGCAAGCTGCCTCTCTTCCAGTGTCACCTTCTACAAAATCAAAATCGATTTAGATTTTATTTTTAAATATAATATTCAAAGAGAGTTGATAGTTTTGAATGAAGGATGGTACATTAACAAAATGCTTTCAGAATGAGGTTGTCCTGAATCATATATGAAACATGCAAATATTTCAACAAAGCAAAAATCACCTGAACCTGGACAAATCATTGAGGGTTTGGTTGATCTGTATACAAAACTTTGGGTGAAGAAAATCTGGAAGAAAAGAAGCAATTATTTTATGCTTTGGGAATTTGGTCATTAGTTTCTTATTTGCTGCTGTAAAAAATATATATATATATATCACAGATGTAGTGGCTTCAAAACCCACCAGCATATTATCTTATAGTTCTGTAGGTCAGAAGTCTAGCATGAGTCTCACAGGGCTAAAATCAAAGCGTCTGTAGGGCACTGCTCCTTTCTGAAGGCTGGAGGGAAGAATTCACTCCCTTACCTTTTAAGCATCTCCAGACTGCTCACACTCCTTAGGTCTTGGCCCCTTCTGCCTCCTTCTTCCAAGTGGGCAATGGTAGGTGGAGCCCTTCTCGCCTCCCATCTCTTTGACTTCCCCTTCTGTCTCCTTTGACTGCTTGTAAGAACCCTTGTGATTACATTGGGCCCACCTGGATCATCTATTTTCAAGTCAGTTGATGAGCAATCTTCATTCCAGCTGCGACCTTAATTTCCCTTGTGATGTAACATAACATACTGGGAATTAGGGTGGGGACATCTCTGGAGGATTATTATTCTGCTTGCCACTGCTGGTTTGTGATTTCTGCCTCTGACACAGCATGCTATATGATGGCAGTACCTCCTGAACTTGGACAGTCCCCGCTACATTTGCTCTAAAAATATACACGTTACAGCCCATGTACAGAATCGACCCTGGAGCCTTATAGGAAAACATTTGAAGCTATTAAAATAGGCAAAGTGTTTGTGAGCCTTGTTTTTAAACTTTTTGGGTCTTTTACACACCAAAACTAAGTTACGAAAACTTGATAATCCTGCTAAGAGACTTCCAATAAATTATTTAGTAATTATGTTTACAGTTAGTGCAAGTAAGGGTCCGGGTGCTATGTCCTGTCATCAAAGAATCTTAAGACCTTATAAAACAGTGAACCAGTCATCCATCTACCCATTCTTCCACGCTGCTAAATTCTATTGCATGTTCAGTATGGGCAAGCCCTATGCTGGGCCACAGGTGATTACGGTGGTCCCTGTACCCAGAAGCTATTACAGATGCAGATTTCATTTCTACCTGAGCTCCAGCATATCGCCAAGTGTTTCCTCCCTTCTCACTTCTCACTTCTAAAAATCATTTGCTGCTGAAATTAATAGCTCTGCATTGCCTTTGCACAACCCAATCAAGGTAGCCGGAAATCTGTTCACATATGAATTTTAGGAAGGAGACATTCTGTTTCAGCATATATGGATTTAATTTGCCACAACAGTGATTGGATATATTCTTTGAGCCCTTATGGCCACTTGAAGATACTGACTATTGCCAACAGTTCTCTGCAAGACGCCTTTGATCCATCAACTCCTAAGAAGAAAAAACAGAAAACCTATTGTTAACATGATGAACCAGCCTTGTAATAAAAGAAATTCAAGCAGCATTTTACCAAATGGTGCCCTCCATAAAAAGGGAATTTTTTTTTCTTTCTGTCACAGGCAGCAAGAAAGCATTTGTTTGAATGACCATTTCCTTCTCTTGCTTTTGTAGGGCAGCCAAAGCCATTTTAGGATGGTGAGAGACATGCCGCCAGCACATTGGAAATGCGTCTCTGGTGGACAGGAAACAGTATGAGTCACACTCGAAGTTCTCTGTTGTTCGGAAGGGGTGAAACCGCTTTGACTTCAGGAGGACTGAAGGTGTTAGGAGCTGCTTGGCATTTTGACTGTGTTTCTGAGACGAATATGTATGTACGACTGCCTGGGGAGAAACCACACACAACAGAGCCTGAAGCTACTAACACCAGGTGATATATTGCCCTTACCATTAGTCATATGGTATGCAGTGTAAACAGAGTGAAGCAATTTGCTACTTTCCTGGGTTCCATTATGTATATGTGTTTATTTAATCAGGACTAAATGATATTACGTGAAGTTCCCCTTGCCCTCCTGAGGAATCCAGATTCAACACTTTCAGCGCTGTTCAGTGCTGGAGAGCAAAGAAAGTGTAACCATAGTGATGGAATGGAAATGATTTTCTTTGTTCAGAGGCTTCAATATCCAACAGACATTACAGTTTTCAAGGTCAAAAATATATTAGGATGAGATAAAAATTAAAGAAAAATGTGCTGGCTTAGCTACAAAAGCTAATTTAGTTTATGCATTATAAATTATGTTAAAATGACTAAAATGAGATTTCTCAGCAAGAACTAAATGTGTGGTTTCACAAAACTAATTTCCAAAGATGAACATGATTACAGAATTTAGCTTTAAAAGCTTTTCAGGCCATCAGAAAAAACAGCAAAGCTATCAATTATCAGACTTTAGTGGTGCCTCTGTCAGAAATATAATGGTATTTTTAGCATTCTGCTCAGCGTTTACTAAATTAAGAATGTCTACAAACAAATCAATTAATTGGGACATTATTTAATTAAGTAAAACATGTGATCTGCCAAAGAACCTTAACCAGACGATTATAACAAACATCCCAGTAGCCTTCTCTTATTGAGGGAGATAGCAGGCCAGCAGTAAAAAGATGGAAACTACAGGAAATGAAATGTTGATCAAACAAGCAAACATAGCCTCATGCTTTTCTGATTCATACTGCATACTTATGTAATTTTAAAAAGTGCTTGTTTTGAAAATCTGTGATTTCCTCTGAGAAGGTCACTGCTATCTGTCACTCATTCCATTGCTATTAGGTGGATGTGTGCAATATGTGAGGTGGATATATTTTTTTTGGTAGCAATGCATATATAAACATAAAATAATCTATATTCTCGTACATGGCACACTTAGTGTCTGGGTGCCAGGAAGTTACTGGGTTCCTGTTTTTTGCTTTCCGTAAACAGTTCAGATCCAGTGAAAGGTTATTTTGGACCCCACTATCAGCCAGACACTTTCCCACCAACCATCCCATTCTACCTTTCAGCAGTTCTGTGAGTTAGGTATCAAGACCTCAGTTTTAAAGATTTTATTTATTTATTTGACAGACAGAGATCACAAGTAGGCAGAAAGGCAGGCAGAGAGAGAGGAGGAAGCAGGCTCCCTGCCGAGCAGAGAGCCCGATGCCGGGGCTCCATCCCAGGACCCTGGGATCATGACCTGAGCCTTTAAGGCAGAGGCTTTAACCCACTGAGCCACCCAGGCGCCCCTCAAGACCTCAGTTTTAAAAGGGAGTCTGAGGTTCCAGGAGGTGAAGTACTTTCCCAGTACTCAAACACCTGGTAATTTCAGAGCTAGGATTTAGATCCATGATACTGATACTGAGTCCTGAACACTTCCCATTATTCCAGTATGGACTAACCCGGATTGAAATGCGGTTGCACAAGCAGATGCCACCATGTTGGCCAGCAGAGTCCTTAAAATAATACTGTCTCCAAAGAGAGTAAGCAGTGATTTGGTTGGGGAAGGAGTAGGTGAGCCGTGGGTTACTGTTTGGGCAAATCAGAGTATCTAATTGCCTAATTCCATGAGGCAACATGGGAAAGGTAAGACTGCCCGTTCACCTACAAACAACCCAGAGTACTGTTCTATCGTTACTTGAAGTAATTGCAAGTATGGACCAAGAGGAAGTTAAATGAAGTAAGTTGGAGAGCAGCGACGTGATACCAGGAGCAGATGTGCAAATAGCGATGTTGTGACCTGTTAGAAATTTTAAGGTCGAATTCCTCCCTTTTTGTTGGTGAACATTATCTTCTGGCACATATCAGAATAATGAGCTTGCATATTGGGGAATATTCTCATGAACTCTATCAAACACTTTAAAATAATTTTCAGAACTCATTTGATCTGAGCCAGTATTATTGGTCCTACCCAGGTGATTGTCCCCATTCAGGCCACTTGGTCTTCTGGTGCCCTTTGTTCTTTCTTTGTTCCCTTTTCTCCTCTCAGATCCGGGTGTGTCCCTGTTATGATTATGCATCTGAGCTTTCTTCTCCTGCTGGGTTTATCTTTCTGAAAATTTCTCGCACAAGACACATGAATGTAAGTCTGCAGATGAGGGACACCTGATAATCTGCGAGTGATCAGGAAACCAGGAGAACATGAAAGTGCTTTCAAATTCTTGTCTCCCCTAAATATTAATTTTTAAGTCAAAGCTTTGTTACCTGTTAGTCTCCGCATTTTTATTACTAAGTAATAGATTAAACTTTTAATGAAATGCCATGTGAGAAATTGACAACTTTCCACTCAGTGCCAAGAATAAAAGAACTTACTATGTCTGTCATCAAACTGGAGAGAAAGCACCTTATTGCTTAGCCCATCCCTGATGACTGAGGTGGGTATTGGCTGTCCTGGCTGGAGCTGTAGGAAGGAGCCCAGACGGACTTCACTCTCTGCTCAGGAGAGACAGTGTGTGACCAAAATGCTTTGCTCTAATTAGGGTAATTTTGTATGCGATGGGGAGAAACAACCCCTTAAATATCAGTGTGGGATTCAATAGCAAAATATGTCTAGACATTTGAAGCCTTCCATACTGAAAGAAGTTATTGAAAAATGATTCATTTTTACATCCTCCACCTGCTGCCTGATTCTTCATAATATTGATTTGTGAGAGAAAGAACTTTCCCAAATGATAGTACTGAGATGGGTTGCTAATAAGATACATAATTTTAAGCACTCAGCCATATTGAGCATCAACTATGTGTTAGATGCTGTTCAGAAAAATCAGAGTAACTGTCTTCATTGTCTCAATTCCATTTTCATAACATTTTCTTTTGTCCTTCATACATCAGAGTTAAGGATCACTTAAACATGGATGATGTTTGATTTTTTTTTTTTTTTCGGAGCAGGAAATTATAACCTTGAAAATGTGCTTTTCATGTAAGGATAGATATTTATTATTATAAAATTAAAGTTGTTTTTCTGTTATCTCACTAATCTGGATACTTTAGAGACAGTGTTTTAGATATTCTTCTGCATCCATTGGTTGTTTTTTTGTCATTGTTGTTTTTTACCTGGATTACAAGAATAAGGTCTAATAGTGTTTAAAAAAAATACTTTGTTTTTCTCATCCATCAAGGAGTCAGAATGTAGTTGGCTACTCTTGTTCATGCAGCTTGATGTCAAGGGCAGCATCTCTGTGATTTTCTTTACCTTTTCCTGATCATCACAAAATGGTTGCTGCTGCTCCAGACATCAAGCCTATATTCATGTAGAAAGTAGAAGGGCAGGTGTAGTGCTAGAGATGTATGCTTCTTTTATCCTACAGCAAAACTTTCCAGATACTCTAGCAAACTTCATCTTACACAAATTATTTGGCTAAAACTCAGGCATCTGGCCATTCCTGGCTTCAAAGAATCTGAGACAGTGAGTAGTTTGGTCTTTGGGAATGGGTCTCAGTTTACCTATCCAATAGTGCCTTACATCTCTTGCAAACCAATTTATATTTTAACGAGTAGGATTGATGCTGTGACCGAGGGAAATAAGCTGTAACTTGGAGGCTTTATTGTATCAGAAAAGAAAATGGACTTAAAATCATATCATCTGGTTTTAAATCTCAACTCTGTTGTTCCCATGTTATGATCCTAAGCAAGCTACTTATTTCTACAAGCATCAGTTTCCTCGTCTATAAAAGGAAAAAAGAATTCCTCTCTGGAGGTATGCTGAGGATGAAATGAATAAGATGTCTTGGAGTATCAAGTACAGATTTGAACAGACAGAAATTCACAAATTCACGTATTCATTATTTCTTTCATTCATATAATCAGTTGGCCAAAATAAATTGTATTTCAGAAAAGCAATCAAGAAGAGGTCACCACTGGTTGGGTTTGTGTCCTTGAGGCCAAAGATGCAGTAGTTGCTCATTTCAGGGTCTTGTTCCTGAGGTGGTGTGTGTGTGTGTGGGTTTACTTCTGCCTCTAGATGGTGATGAGGCAGGGAAGGAGGGAAGAAGAAAATGAAATTTTATTGACCATCGCCTACATGTCTCTCTTAACCTCACATTGTTTTTTACCTGATGAAGCAGATACTCCTTTTCTCCAATGTTAAACCAAGCTATTAAGCTACAAGCAGAATGGCTTTGACCTCTCATCTTTCTAAGTTGCACGTATTACACCATTTTTCCATGTTATTCAGCCTTTTATTTCCCTGGGAACCCATCATCAGTTTCTGGAGGCTGGGCGGAAACACAAAGACAGTTTTGTTAAATACTGCTCAGGGTCGCACACCAAATCTTTCCTTGCTTTCAACCTCCAACTGATATTCCACAAATAGGTTGGTACCCAATTATTTCTCTCCTGAGAGTGTATTTCTTTCCTATCTTGACTTCTTCCATCCAGTTCCTATCAGAGATAAGGATAGCCATTTCTCAAGACTAATTTGGAATCTGAACTTCAGGAACTATTGTCCTCTTCTTCAAGTGCTGCCACCTCTCTAAAGTTCACTGTGCCATCTTTGCTGGTCTCTCCAGATGTAGCCAACATGGCATATCTAGATTTGCTGTGGGTTTATTCCTCAGACCTGTGATCTGGAAACCTTGCCACATACAGGTTATAGAATACTGTCATGGACAGTCATTTCTAAATATGAACATGTGAACATAAATATGGCTTCTGGACAAGGAAATCTCTTTTGTCCTCTGCTCTTCCCTCTGTCCATCTCTTTCTTCCTCCATCCTTGATTGTCTCTGCTTTTCTCCTCCCTCTCTGCCTCTGCCTCTCCTGCGTATCTGAATAATCTGCAGGAGAGGGGCACTCTGAGAGATGAATGGTAATCTGTATGTATCACACTGATGTATTACAGACTGCAAAATGATTCCCTCCTGAAGAATGGTACATGCAATCAAACCCGTCATTAAGTTGTTGCC